CCCTAATAGCGCAATTCAACGCTCCCATGGAGCCCTAGTCTTCCCAACAACTAAGCAGAGGCTAACCCGGGTGTGAACCCGGAACAATAAAGCGCATACCGTCAAACACTCGACGCTCGGGCGGTACGCCCTCACTGAGGCCGTCGACAAGAGAACAGATTGACATGTGAGTTGTTGACGGCCCACAGAATTAGTGGAGACGGCCGTGGTGGGAGCTAGGGCGGCAGCTATCTAGCTGGGCTGCCTACATCAAAGGGGGAACGGTAGTACCCCGAGCCGCGGCCACTCATCTGACGAAGGCGAGAAGTGTCTAGCTGACCGCTGAGTGGCAGTGAAGTCCCTCTCAACATACTGAGGGGGTGGGACGACCCCCCGCCCCTGTAGGAAAAACCCCCCGACAGGGGGCGCGGCTGAGTGCCCCCGCCCGTGGGAGTCGAGGGCCCGGAGAGCCCTGAGAGGAAACGCCGTTCGCACCCAGACACAAAACGGCATGGCGATAGCCCTAGCCGCGCGATGGCATTACTTCTGAATACAATTACTACGCGGCTCAAATTCAAATTACAAATTAACAAATAACAAATACAAAAGAATTAACGAGTAACAAAATACCGTTCCTATCAAATCAAGTTAAATACAATTACACAAATACAAATTACCATTTATTAGATTTATATTATTACCATTTATTAGATTAAATACGAACCACAATACAATAAAGATACACATCCCGTTCAATCTACAAAAAATGCCTCGCTCAGACAACCGACCCTTTGATAAGTAATCAACCATAATTATACGACAACGATAATTATCCGATTACGTGATAATAACCATCTACCTACCCAACGCATCTCTCAAGCAAACTCCCGCTTGCGCAACCTAGAGCGTGGCAATCACAACTACCCACCAACAACAAAAAAAGCAAGCAACAAAGCAACAAAAGAAAAGAATTTTATCTTTACGTATTACGGCCGGGCGTGATTGTAGATACAAAATTAAACCAATCAAACAAACGCTCCCTGTCACCAAAATTGTTTAATTTTTATCAAGTACTACGGTCGGGCTCGACTGGGAATCGAACCCGGAACCACGCTCTGCTACCACTTTGTTATGGCCTACGGCTGCTCCAGCAAAGGTTCAATCATTCGGGGCCCATCAGCGGAGACTTCATGAGCAGACGTAGGTCGAGCCTCAATATGGCCACGTGGAATATGTTCTATCTCAATAAAATATATGGGAGAAAGCTAGAAACACTATACTTACCATTATCCGAAGCTAACTTCGCACCAAGGCTTGGGCAGGCCGTGAATGTGTGTAATAGTGGATGGCGAGTAGTGTACAGTGAGGTGTAAATGTCTGCGACCTGAGCAAGCTTAGGCGACCAGCAGCGGCCGAGTTCCAGGCTGCCCCAAAATGTTACATCGCTCCAGCAGGCTCGATCGCTGGACCATTTCTTTCTTCATTGTCACTAAATCAGTCTTTTAGTTTCATTGTACATTTAAGTAACTTAAATTCGCCTAATTCCACATTCATCGTAGAATCGAACACGTGATACCCGATAGATTCAGCGTTAAACACAACTAAGTTCCTTCATTCGACACCAGAACAACACGTCGCGCCAGAGTCAAAAATACGCCTCGTTGACACGTGAATTAATCTAACTAGCCAACCAAACACAAAAGGGGCACTAAACGCGACGACACAATTATAATGATATCTTGAAAATTAACCGGGAGAAGCTCTCAAACCAGGAATGCGCGGCTCGAATCCTAGACCGTATATCTACTAGACGCGCGTACACTATTCCGCACTCTCGCCCGAGTTAAATATCGCACAATTCACATATCTACGTGATGAAGAAGCACGTACTTCATCTAGCTATCTAGATCCACGATGGGCCTTGAATTTCGAGCCTGACGGTCTCCCCGCCTCGTGGCTGAAGGGGCACCGACGTTTTGCCCACGCGTCGAGCTACCGACTGCCTACGCGTCGAGCGACAGACTGCCACGCAGTCGCCCCACCTCGGCGTTTTTCTCACCTGCATACCATCGGATGAGGCGCCAGCTCGAACGCAATTGGGTGTCGTTAACATGACCAAATTTGGGCATAAACAGCTTCAATACTAAAAATATACGCCTATATTACAAAGTACTGATTTAAAGTTTCTTTTTTGAAGAATACTCGAAGAATTTAATCAGCAAATGCATGGAGTTTGAATTATCTGAATCTGGGTGGACAATTGAGTCAATTAACCATTTAGAACTAAATATAATCCGCTAAGAGCGGGTCATTTTATTTCATTACCAAAAGTATTGTCAGAACAAAGTCATGTCTTAATATTCATAATACAGACAGTCACTGCTTCCTTTGGTGTATCATAGCACAAATGTATCCAGCGAAATGTAATCCAAATCGAGTTACATCTTATCCACACTATGCTAAAGTTTTAAATGTGTTCGGTATGTCTTTTCCACCGACGTTTGAAGATATAAAACGCTTTGAAAAACAGAATACAAACATAAGTGTCAATATATATGGATTAGAAAAAAATAATACAGTAACAGGAACTTTGTACAAAACATCACAAAGAAAGTTAATGCATGTAAACATGTAAACTTATTGCTTTTGAATAAACAAAACAAGACTCATTTTGTTTTAATCAAACATTTTGAAAAGCTCGTACATAAACAACTTACGAAACACAAATCTAAAGTTCATTTATGTGATGAATGTTTTCTTTACTTTGATTCTGAGACAAAGTTAGAGTCACATGATTGTGCTCGCATGCACACTATCCTTCCAGAAACGAATTCAAAGCTACGATTTTCTAATCCAGAAAGTTCTCAAAGAATTCCAATTGTTATTTATGGTGACTTTGAAAGTTTACTTAGAGAATATTCTGACAAAAATAAAAGTCAACATGTACAAAATGTTCAGATTCATGAAGCTACTTGTTTTGCTTATTATATATGCTGTGAATCCAATCCCGAATTGAATGACTTAATTTCTTATTGAGGGCCTAATTGCTCAAAAAAATTTGTAAATTCAATTTATAAGGATATAGAAAGATTATATAAAATTTTAAATATTTCTAAAGACATGAATCCGCTTAATAGTGAAGAGCAGAGTTCTTTTAATAGTAAAGAAGTGTGTTATATTTGTAAAAAAAGTTTTGTTGTTCTGATTACAAAGTATATGATCATGACCATTTCACAGGTAAATACAGAGGTCCAGCTCATAATTCATGTAATTTAAACAATAGAAAATGTAATTTCATTCCTATTATATTTCATAATCTTTCTGGATATGATTGCCATTTATTAACTTCCTTCTGCGTAGCATTGAAAGGAAGTTAATGGTTTTAGCTGGCAGTCTGTTAGTCTGTATGCCGACCCGATAACTTCCGTTCCACTGGACCGATTGACTTTAAATTTGGTATGTGGATACCTTGAGGTAGTAGCTCGGTCGAGTTTGAATTTGGGTCCTGTAGGTCAAAGGGCAGAGGAAGTTGTTTTTCTTGAATTTACATTCAACTCGTTTATAAAAGAACTTGCAAGTGTATGCGGTCGTATAAATTTAATTCCAAAAAACAAAGAGAAATTTATTTCTTTTACAAAGTTTTTTCCAATTGATATGCAGAAGTCAGCTCAATTAAAATTTATACTCCTTTAATTTCCTGAGTTCAAGTTTAGATCATTTAGCACAAACTCTAAATCCTGAAGACTTAAAACATTTGCGAACATTCTTTCCAGATGAAAATTTATTCCGATTATGTCTTAGGAAGGGTGTATATTGCTATGACTATGTAGATTATTGGGAAAAGTATAAAGAAACTCAGTTACCAGAGCAATCAAAATTTTACAATAAATTAACATCAGAATCTATAACAAGTGAAGATTATAATCATGCTTTAACTGTGTGGCAAAATTTTGGTATTAAAACTTAGGTGAATATACCGACTTATATCTGAAATGAGATGTCTTACTACTTTGCGACGTTATTGAGAAATTTAGATCCATGAGTTTGAATTATTATGGTCTCGATCCTTGTGTTCACCATTATGTTTCATCACCTTCACTAAGTTGCGATGTTATGCTATTGTTGACAAGTATTGAGTTGGATTTAATTACTGATATACAAATTTATCAATTTTTAGAAAATGGTATAAGAGGAGGGCTATCTCAATGCTCGTTAAGGTATGCAAAGGCTAATAACAAATACTTACCAAATTTTAATGAAGAAGATCCAAATTCTTTCTTAGTTTATTTAGATTGTGTAAATTTGTATGGTTATGCTATGATGCAGCAACTACCTTATAAAAATTTTCGGTTTTTAAAACAAAAAGAAGAAGTTTTGATATTAACTCTATTAGTTCTAATAGTAATGAAGGATATATACTCGAAGTTGATATGCAATATCCACGCAATATTCATGATGAACATTCTGACTTGCCGTTTGCAGCAGAAAAGTTAACAGTTCCAATATAATCAAACATTAGTAATAAGAAATTGGTTACGAATCTCTATGATAAATATAAATATGTTATCCATTACCGTCATTTACAAGAATGCCTAAGAAACGGACTTGTTTTATTGAAGATTCATAGGATTTTAGCTTTTAATCAAAAAGCATTTTTAGAGACATATATTTCCCTAAATACATCTTTAAGACAAAATGCTACATCTGATTTTGAAAGAGACTTTTTTAAAAAACAAAACAATTTAATTTTTGGAAAAACTATAGAGAACAAAAGAAAACAAGTCGATGTTAAGCTAGTAAATGTATGAAAAGATAATTTTAATAACACAAATAAAGTCTGTGGTGCCGAAAAATATGTTAGTGCGCCTAATTTCAAAAATTTTACAATTATTTCTGATAGCCTCGTAGCCATTCAACTCCGGCCAACAAAAGTGATCTTGGATCGCCCAATACGAGTATATGTGGGCTTTAATATTTTGGAACTTGCAAAAAGTCATTTATATAATTTTCATTATTCTGTAATGAAGAAAATATACAAATATAATAATATCAAAATTTGTTACACTGATACAGATAGTCTTTTGTATTTAATTTACTCTGAAGACTTCTATAAAGATATGAAAGATAATATTAAGTACTTTGATACAAGTAATTTTCCTGAAAATAATATATACCATATTCCAAAAGCAAATAAACAAAAACCAGGGTATTTTAAAGATGAATTAGGTGGTGATATTATAACAGAGTTTATAGGCTTGAAAGCAAAATTATACTGCGTTAATACTTTAAAGTCCGCAATTAAAAAAGCAAAATGTGTGAAAAAGCATATTACAAAAAAATTAACTATTGAAAATTATAGAGATATTTTAAATTCTAAGAAATTATGTACGTAATACGATCTAAGAATCATATACTTTATACGCAAAAAATAAATAAGCTCATTCTTAGTGGCAATGATGATAAGCGACGCCTTGGGGACATTATTTTAAATAGCATTATATTTTAACTAATGATGAAATATGAAATAATGAAGAATTAAATGATGAAATAAAGTAATAGTAATTTATAAAAAATTATAAACATAAACATAATATGCAAATGAAAACCAATTACTTTATTTTGAATATTCTTTACTGTAAATATGTTCTATATTGTAACTAGTAAATCGTAATTTTAACTCTAGCTAAAATATAAAAACCTTTATATGTAAGTTGAAATAAAAATACTGTATTATCATAATCATATTTTGTTTTATTTATCATCCCATTAGATCCTTAAATACTACATATTACATAAAAACAATAGATTTAAATACACTTAACTTTTACAACAGAGTTATACATGTCGAAAAAATTAATCATTTATTTATAGACATTTTATTAACATAAATTTTATTAATTGATTTCAAACTGAAATACGAGATTTGCTTAGTTTTTTTACCAATTTACAAACTAAATGTTCTGTCTCATCCATGATGTCATCATATGCACTTGTGATATTGCACGTTCACAGCTTCATTTCCAGATTCAGTATTTATTTCATCGATATTACGACCATCTAAATCATGTATTATAATTTTTATTAAATGACGTACATCACCCGTTTCCTTTCGCATGATAAATGATGTATTTTTCAAAGAATTTGATTTGATTTTTTTCTTTTTTATTTTTACCTCCAATTTTTGGCGACGGCTCTGCTCGCACGTCTTTGTCGCCACTTCATCGTACCAGCCTTGCCTATCTTGAGCATAGTAAAATGGATTAGTAATTGGGTTTGAGTCTTCTATCAAATTCTAAAAGCCAGATATAAAATTACTACCCATGAATTTAAAATCAATTAAAAATAATAAAAACTAAAATGGTAACTTACCTCACGTAACATTTAACAGTGGTAGAGCCACGCGGCAGCTTTTGCTGTCGCACGGATGGGCCGGCTCGAACCGGGGTGGTACCACGACCTCACAGAATACCAGCGTGAAGTAGAGGTTCACCTCTGCGTTTCGCTTGGTGAGTGCAGGTGGCCGGAGGCCCTTTTTACTGGAAATGAGGTATTCCGTCTTAATCCTCACGGGTGACAACGCATCTATATTTTGATTTGTAATAGAGGATAGATGTAGATGTCTATGGGCCGCAGCAACCACTTACCATCAGGTGGACTGTGTGCTCGTTTGTCACCCTTATCATATAAAAAAAAATCGTATATTTTCTAAGCTATCCAAAACAGGACGGTAAGATGTGACATGTTTCTGAAAAACAAAAATGAGTATAAGTTACATATTTGATTACATTTGTAAGAGTTAGAATTACAATAGAAAAAAGAATAAGTTACTTTATTATTTAAATATTTCATTTAAAGTACTTACTCCAAATTTCAGCTAAAGAAACAAACGTGCTCTTTATAGAAAGTACCTACTGTAGCGAAATGACGTGATCGCGTGTTGTAAGATGAGAATTGTATAATTTACAGAATAAGCATAATATACTCAGGATTTGTAAGATCAGAATAGCATTATTTTGCAAATTAAGCATAGATCTACTAAGAAATTTGTAACACGAGAATAGAAGAACATTTAGCAGAACAGACATGATGTGACATGCATTTCTCTCTAATATTGTTCATGCAAAATTTAAATATATACCTATGTTTGTAGGTTAGTAACTCATTCAATAAGCACTATGAAGTTGATCAAACAACCCATAACGCTAAGCGTCAGCAATATTAATATTGATCACTCGGCTCACAAGATCAGACATAGCATTCTCTTACCAAATCCCTCTAATTGCGGTAGAACGAACGTTGTAATAAGTTTATTGTTGCATGAAAATGGGCTTAAATTTCAAAATCTTTACTTGTATTCAAAAACTAACTATCAACCAAAATATCGTATTTTACGAGAAGTAATTAAGAGCGTACCTAATATTTTATTTTATGAGTTCAACGATAACAAAAACGTTATAGGTCCAAGTGAAGCTTTAAACAATTCTGTATTTATTTTTGATGTTGTTGCTTGTGAAAATCAAATCAACAATCGTAATTATTTTTCTATGGGCAGGCATAAGCAAATCGATTGCTTTTATTTATCTCACACCTACTCAAAAATTCCGAAACAATTGCTACGAGACAATGCCAATTTTATTATAATATTTAAATTAAATTTAAACAAGATGATGTGAACTTAAAACATATTTATGAAAAACATGTTAGTTCTGATATGTCATGGAATCAATTTAAAAATATTTGTAATATAGTTTGGAGTAAGCCGTTTAATTTTGTTTGTATTAACTCTCTGACTAGTATACAGTTATTTGTGGTATTAACAAAGACTCACCGTTAAACAATGGCAGGTATAAAAAGAATATTGATATTTTTTTAACCTAGAGGAAACTATTATAAACGGGTTTTAGATAAAACTATTTAGTTTTATTGTAGCCGCGATAGAATGAAGTATTGTAAAGCATTATGGAAAAGCAAGATAAGCAAGCAAATGGAATTAATGAAGTCTGTGGACTCCATAAAGAATAAAATAAAAAAATGAAAAATAATGAGCATGACCTAACTTATCCCTAGATAAAATGCTAAAACCTGTTACAGAGCCCCTTAAAATCATAGTAAATAAGCAAAAACCAAATCAAGACCATAATTTATCGATGCAATCATGCGCAACTTCTGCTGGATCATATGAATCGGAATTTCAGAACTATTACGATGCTAACTTGAGTTCTGCAGAATCTCCAAAAAATTAAATTAAAGACAATTTAGAGGCTTCATCATCATCGTCATCATCATTACAGCCTTTCATAAGTCCACTGCTGAACATAGGTCTCCCCAAAGGAATGCTACAAAGCACGGTCCTGAGCCACCTGCATCCATCGACTTCCTGCATGTCTTACCAGGTCGTCACTCCAACTCGTTGGGGTCGCCCTACACTTCACCTATCGGTATGAGGCTGTCACTCAACAACCTTTCTTCCCCATCGGTTGTCGGTTCTTCGAGCTATATGGCCGGCCCACTGTCACTTCAGCTTATTAATCCGTTGGGCTATGTCGGTTACTCTGGTTATACTGCAGATATCCTCATTTCTGAGTTTATCACGCAGAGAAACCCCGAGCATAGCCCTCTCCATAGCTCGCTGAGCGACCTTGAGCTTCCTCATACGGCCAGCAGTGAAGGACCACGTCTCAGATCCGTAAGTCGTCACTGGCAACACGCATTGGTTGTACAATTTCGTTTTAAGGTTTTCAGGTATGTCTGACGAGAAGATGTGTCCCGAACGCTGCCCAGCCGAGTTGAATCCGTCGATTGACCTCTCGGTCGAAGTTGGACTTACCTAGTCGGACTATTTGTTTCAGGTAAACATACTCGTCAACAACTTCGAGCTTAGTGCTCCCAACAACTACCGGCATAGGTGTGACATGGACATTAAACATGATCTTTGTTTTGTCCATGTTCATCCTAAGACCTATTCGTTGGAAGACACTATTGAGGTCATTGAGTATAGTGCTTAGGTCCTCCAGCGATTCTGCCACAATGACTATATCGTCGGCAAAGCGAAGGTGAGTGATGTACTCGCCATTGATGTTAATACCGTATCCTTTCCAGTCCAGAAGCTTGAGACGTCTTCCAATGCAGCGGTGAAGAGTTTCGGGGAAATAACATCACCCTGTCTTAGAAGACATAGTGGCAAATTGTACTCCTCGGATTTCTGTACAATTTGCCGAAGGGTATGTATGTGGTCTATGGTGCTAAAACTCTTTCGAAAATCGACTTGTTCGGGAGGTTGGAAGTTTTCAAGTCTGCGCGCGAGACGATTCGTAATGACTCTCGAAAACAGCACGTAGACGTGGCTCAGAAGGGAAATCGGTCTGTAGTTCTTCAAGAGAGCGTTGTCACCTTTCTTGAAGAACTAGACCACCGCACTTCTGCTCCACGCCTCCGGTGTAACGCCACCATGGAGGACGGAATTAAAGAGCTTCTGAAGGACTTCAAGTACCGGTCTTCCACCCGCTTTCAGAAGCTCCGCTGTAATTCCATCCTCGCCTGGGGCCTTGCCGTTTTTAAGGTGCTGGAGAGCCATTCTAATCTCGCTCAGACTGACGTCTGGGATATCTTCGGAATAGTGTCGGATAAGACTCGCTCTTGGATCGTTACTCACACTTGCGTGTGGCTCCAACGATGACGTGTACAGCTGCCCATAGAACCTCTCAATCTCACTCAAAATCTCAGGTGCCCCGGAAACGATGCTACCACATTCGGTCTTCAGCCTTGTCAGTTGGCTCTTTCTGGCAGACAGATCTCTGGCAATGACTTTGGAGTCTTGGTTCCGCTCGATCGCTTCTTCAATACAAGCTGTATTGAAGTGGCGTAAGTCCCGCCACATGCATTTGGAGATCTGTCTGTTCAGTTGTCTGTATGCTTAGAGGCTTCATTAGATCGGAATTATATCTATGATATTTACGATGATAAATTAAATATACCATTTGGGATATGAAAAGAAAAGAAAACTTACATGATGGGAAATTCAGAAGTTGCTTTTTCTAAAATGACAGTTTGGATAACGAAACTATATTTTTAGTAAAAATTGGAGACAAATCTTACAATCTAACTATCGGGTTAAGAGAACTTCTACTTAGAAAAAAACCTGATTTGAATTTAGTATCAAGCGCTGATAAACTCGTGTACAAAAATATTCTAGACCATACTAACGCTCATAAGAGAGATTTTAACCCTAGAGGTCAAATAAGAGGTGATAAGGGAATTAAATACCAAAAAATAATTAAACCATTATTTTTCGAGACCTTAATCAAATATAAAAAAATCGAAGAAAAGCTTGGAGGTAATTTACCTAAGCTTAAGAAATATAAAATCAACACTGGTATTGTATATTGGGACGATCCAAATGAATTAGTTGATAGATTAAAAGTTTTAATAGCTTCAAGAGATGCCGGCAATACAAATCATGATAATGAAATTTTATCGATCATTGAAGAATTAAAAGAAGCTAACATTATAAAGGAATAAAATACTAATTATTACTAGCTTTTACTCAGTATTGGTGAAGTTGCTCATGTTGCAAATTACTAAAAAATTGTCTGTATTTATTTAAGTAACAACGAATATAATAATAAAGCAGCATAAACGAATTATTTTTAATAACTACCAACATAAGAATAAAATAAAATACATTATTTTTTGAATATGAGTAAAGCCGATGTAGTAAATGAAATTCATAGAAATGCTAGGGTGAATTTCCCACGTAGAAATGTTATTACGAAAGATATAGATGATTTATGGCAAGCAGACTTAATTGATATGCAATCAGTTTCTAAGGAACACAAAAACTTCAGATTTATTCTTACCGTTATTGATACATTTTCGAAATACGCTTGGGCTTTTTCCAATTAAGACTAAAAGTAAAGAGGACGTATGCTATAATTTTATGAAGCTCGTAAAAACACGTGTACCCAAAAATCTGCAAACCGACAATAGAACAGAATTTTATAACGATACGTTTAAAAAAATTATGAATTCTTATAATATTAATCATTACTCAACCTTTTCAACAAAGAAGGCTTTCATAGTTGAACGATTTATTCGAACTTTGAAATCTAAATTGTATAAAGCATTTGGTTTACAGGGTAATTATAACTGGATAGGCGATACTCTTAATAATGTTATTTACGAATACAATCACACTTATCATCGAACTATTGGTGAAATTCCAGCCAATGTTAATAATAAAAGTAAAAAACGAATACTACAGAAATACCTTAGATTGGTAAAGAATGATAATGTAAAACGTAAGTTTAAAGTAGGTGATTATGTGCGTATAAGCAAATACAAAGGTACATTCGAAAAAGGATATATTCCAAATTGGTCGTCAGAAATATTTAAAATTCGAAAATTACAGAACACAATTCTACTAAGTATACTTAAAACTATAAATGAAATCAAAATGGCTAAAAAACAATTTGCTGAATTGAAGAGACACAATGAAAAAATTGAAGCTCTTTGTATCGGATGTGGGTTACAGTTTAAGCATCATAAAAATGGATTTGGCATTTTTGTATCTAAAGAAATAAAATACTAGAATATAGGCTACCCAAACGCGCCTTAACTAACATTGACATTTTAAAGTATGGAAAATATATTCCCTATTTTCGAGGTGTCTTTATGAGAGATGAGCTCCCAAAACACCCTTTTAAAAAAAGAATGTGGAGTTATAAATTTAGTTATTTCCTCAAATCGGGGATCTCATTGGGTAGCCTATGTAAAATTTGATAATTATGTTGAATATTTCGACAGTTATGGAAATCTTAAACCTCCAATGGAATTGATAAAATATTTAGGCCCTAAAGTCCACTATAATTATGATAACATACAGAGTGATCATCCTTTTAATTGTGGATATCTTTGTTTGATTTTTTTGGAGAATTTTTGGCGCAATCAAGACATAAAATAAGCAAGAACTTCATAAATTGCTCAGTATACAAGCATGTCTATAACAGTTGCTATCTCAGGAAATAAATCAGAATTGGATTCCTACTTTCAACCGCCTCTGAGTTTATCAGGTCAATACGAGTGCGGTTTACTATATTTTTCAGTAATAAACTCAACAACAAAATATTCTTATGTTGATAGCAAGTTCCCATCTGTGATCAGAATCGAATGTGATCTCATATACGGCTCATATTACAACGGGTTACCTAAACATATTATTCACGAATTTGTATCTAAAACTGCTGCAGATAATCAATACATAGAAATACCTCAGAACGTTATTTACTTCCCAGTGAATAAAAATAATATTACATCTATAACTATTAAAGTTTTAGATCAATTTGACTACAGAATTAATTTCAAAGAACAAAATATTGAAATTCGCCTCCATTTGAGGAAAGTAAAATGATATTGCACTATAAAAACCCTACAGTCTACTTAAAGCACCCTATTACTTCTACACTCACTAAAGTGCGAAGACCTGAGAAATAATTTAAGACCTTGAGTAAAAATAATAAAGATATTCTAAAGTCCTTGGGATTTAAAGTATGATTATACTACAGATTAATGACTTACCAAACTTCGATACTTCTATTGAAAGTTATGAAGTCCATTCTTATAATCCATATAATAACAGCTTTAGAGAAAACGATTAAATAAGAATTCCCATACATCAGCAAGACATATATGTATTACCATCAGCCAGTACATCGAAGGTCGCGCAAAGCTCTTCAGCAAACATGGAAACCAGATTAAAAAACCTGTTACGTTCAGTAATAATCCTATTATGTTCTTGTTTCAAGACACAAGGTATGAGATAAATGGAATCGAAATAGATCGTATTAAAATGCTGGTATAACGTCAACAATTAAATCATACATTTCAATGAATGAAGCAGAAAATAAAGTAGCAGCTTTGTGGGGTTGGGATATGGATGGATTTAAAAGTGAAAACGGTGATTTTAGTGCTACTGTACCTTTAAATAAGATCTTAGGGTTTGCAGAAGATTATGCTAAAATTGTAATAAATTGTAAACATGAACTTATACTGAACAGAAGTAATTCTAACATAAATAGTATTATTGGAACTGAAGATGTTGCACATTTTCAAATAGACATAAAAAGAATACAATGGCGAGTGCCACATGTGAAAGTATCAGATCGTGAACGACTGAAACTTCTTAAACATTTAGAAAGAGATAAACTTATACAGATGGCATTTAGAAATTGGGATTTATATGAATACCCTTTACTTCCTACATCAACTAAGCATTCCTGGTCTATTAAGACTGCGTCACAATTAGAGAAACCTCGATATGTAATTTTTTGTTTACAAACAAACAGAAAAAATCAAAAAATGAAAGACTGTTCAGTATTTGATCACTGTGGAGTGAGAAATGTGACATTGTTTTTGAATTCACAATATTACCCATACGAGCCCTTATGTTTAAAGTTTTCCGAAAACAAATTTAATATATTATACGAAATGTATGTGAAATTTCGCCAGTCGTACTACAACTGTCCCTCAGACCCATTGCTTGATTTAAGTAGCTTTAAGGAGAAGGTTCCGCTATTTGTGATAGATTGTTCAAGACAAAACGACAGTCTAAAAACGGGACCCGTAGATGTTCGTTTGGAGATTGAATGTACAACGGCAATACCAGAGAAGACAACTGGATATTGTTTAATCATTAATGATCAATTTGTGGAATATAAGCCTTTAAGTAACATAGTGCGCAAGTTGACATGACTGCTATCGTAGATGTCCAAGGTTTCATAGTGAAAGAAATTGCAATATTGTGTAATAATAAAATACAACGACTTTTAATTAAACCACCATTTCCTTTTTACAAATTGACTGTAAAAGAAAATAAAACATGTAAATTGGATTCAACGTAATAGAAAAATATATTGGTGTGAGGGAGTAACACCTTATTTAAATTATCAGAATTTGATTGTAGATAATAATTTTTATTTTTTTAAATTTATATTATAAAGGATAAATGTATATACGTCAAAGGTTTAGAAAAAGTTTTATGGTTAAAATCCATCTTACAAAATGATAATATAATTAATTTAGAAGATAAAGGCTGTCCTAGTTTGTTAAATCTGTATGATCGATATAAAGATTGTAAAGATTTGTATAGTTGTATTAATCATGACTAAGTATGTGCTTTGAAAAATGTTTTTTGCTGAAATAAATTGTGTTCTGATAATAACATTTGAAATATTCTTATTTTATTTCATAAAAGAACTCTCCACCAGCAACTTTTTTTAAATGTTTATAAGGAATCAGCGCAGTTTTGCAGCTTCATTATACTCTTGCAACCAGCAAGATCAAACCTCCACAAAGCATGAGGGACATGTCTCAAAACGAATATAGACCCCGATATAGCTTATATTTTCATTTAGCCATTATTGGGCAACGAGTGATTTAAGAGAAGCAGTGGTGAATGAAATGGCTGATGTGGATTCTTTTATTTTGGCGATAGCATAAATAATACAGCTGCTTGTTTTTCCTGTGGAGGAGTTATTAGAGATTGGGAGATTTACGATGATCCGTGAATGCAACACACATTACATTATCCTCAATGTTTTTATGTGAACGCCGTGAAAGGGTTAGATTATATAAATAAATGTTTGAAAGAGGATGGTAAATCGCTGTGAGTTAAAAAGAGTGACACAGAATTGAGAAGACATCTGCTTAGTTAAAAAAAAAGAAAAAAGTAGAAAATCGCTGTGAGTTAAAAGTGATACAGAATTGAGAAGACATCTGCTTAGTTAAAAAATGGAAATGTAGAGCTGTTACACTAATAATATTGGGGCGAACTGCATCGCGAACGGATGTGAGTGATGCAGCAGCCCCAATATTACCCTACTTAGGTGAGCCGCATGCTCGTCTGCCCCCTCTCCTATAAAAAAAAAATAAAAAAAATACAAAACAAAAATACATAATAAAACAGGGGCTGATCGTAGAAGGGTGAAAATTTGAAGTTTTATGTATTTTTCAATGCTAAATCATAATTAGATAAAAATAAATAATGTTGTCAAAAATAAAAAAAAATATTTAGGGGTAGGTCACCCTTATCATTTATGGGTTTGAAAAATAGAGTTGGCTGATTCTCAGACCTACCCGATATGCACACAAAATTTCATACAAATTGGTTCAGCCGTTTCGGAGGAGTTTGGTAATAAACACCGAGACACGAGAATTTTATATATTAGATTATTTGTACTCGTAAATATGGTAAGATTTTTAATAAGTTTTAGTACAATATAGTCCTGCCTTTACAAAGTTCTAGCGTGTTACATAATTTCCACTGTGTTGCTTAATATATTGTGTGTTAGTGTGTCTAGAGCGTTATGGTACAAATTTTGTGAGCCCCACCCTTCTTACGTCTTAAGCCGCGTATCCACCGAAAATGTTGACAACATTTATGTTTCCAACTGTTTACAACTCAACAAAAGTTACCAACGTTTGAACCGAATTGAAACATGTCGCCAACAATTTAAGAAACATTTTAGTTGACAACTTGCTGTCTTCACCAAAGTTTTGTTGGCAACAATACATCTTCAAGTGACGATATTATGCAGGCAGCCGCAGTATTAATAATTTTATGCAAAAAAAAAAACACCAGTAGTTTTGGACTTATCCTTAATAATGCGTATTAATATTGAAGTCGGTTATAGGCAAAATTTTTAATTTCATAAGTTGTCTCTCTTCCTCTCTTTTTTAAAAAACGTTACCTCCACTCTAGGATTTGATCCTGTATCGCAGGCATAGTTTATCTACATAGAACAGACCTAGAACAATTATTTGTAGGCCATACAAATACTTGTTCCGTCCGGGATTCGAACCCGCGGCCCTTAGCGCTGGAACTCATTACTAAACCACTGCGCCACGGAGCCGTCACTTGTGTGTTTCACATTTTTTGCTATTTACAAACATGCGATACGCGACTTCATTATTAATGAAAGAGTGACAATGAGAAGTATTAAACTGATAACCAGTACTTGCTGATCTTAAATTAGTAGGCAGTCACTAGTACTGGGATTTCTACTTACACTGAATTTTTTTTAAGGTCATTGGCATTCTACGCGAAAAAATCGAAAATCAAATAATAAATCTGTAACTATGGCGTCAGTAACTAAGTACCTAATTTTTTTTTATAAAATAAGAGTGATAAACGAGCACACAGTCCACCTGATGGCGAGTGGTTGCCGTGGCCCATAGACATCTACACCTATCTTCGATTACGAATGAAAATGCAGATGCGTTGTCACCCGTGAGGACTAAGATGGAATGCCTCGTTTCCAGTAAAAAGGGTCTCCGGTTCTCTACACTCACCATACGAAACACAGCAGCGTTAAGCTGCTATTTGACGCTGGTATTCTGTGAGAGCGTGGTCCTTCCCCGGTCGAGCCGACCCATTCGTGCTACAACCATAATATAGCTGCGGCATGGCTCTACCACGTATAAAATTATACACATATAAATACAATTAATTAACAACACGTATAAATTATCTAGATCTACCTATAAATAATAATATAATTTTGATTACAGCCCATACTATATTTTGTGAACGATGTAAATTAAGTAATGTGTCGATTAACTCGTACGTCCACGTGACATACCTACATGTTGCCGACAAATGTTTCTAATGGCTCCAGTACACGTTGGCCGAGCGCGCTTGGCGAGCGCACTCGGCAGATTTTCGTGGTGCCGTTCACACGTTGGCGTGTTTCATTTAGGGATGGGCAAAGGGAAAAAATATATCGATATATATCGCATCTATATTTTTAAACAGTATCGATATATATCGCGTGATAAATATTGATAAATCGATATATCGTCATCATTTGAATGATGTAAAGATAAGTTCCAAAATTTTCTAACGAAAACTAAAACGATACAACATTTTAAAATATATCGAAATTGATACGAATTCGATACTCTAAAATAAATATCGATATGTCGATATATCGCGAATTAAAATATCGACGATATATATCGATATATTTTATTAAAAATATCGATATTTCGATATATCGATATTTTTTACCCATGCCTAGTTTCATTCTGCGTTGGTAGCTAGATGATGATGGACGTTAGGGCAATCGCGGCCGCTGTCATATACTTATACAGCGCTTCACTCTTCTCAGAGTGAACGAAAAAAAACTACACATACAACAATAATCCCAGTTTGTCCTTTTTAGGGTTCTGACCTCAAAAGGAAAAAGAAACCTTTATAGGATCTACTAGCTGATCCGTGCCCGCTTCGCTGGGGGTTTTTTCAAAATAAATAATAGCCCAAAAGAAGCCCCTAAGCTACATTATCCCTGAGCAACATAAACGCAGAGATAATTTATAATAATATTTATCATTAGGTAGGTACTCTGAAATCGCAACTAAACATGTATTATTTAATGCAGTTAGGCAAGTTACTTTGGTTTTATTTTTATGTTGCTCATGTTTGGGGTTCCATATAACTGATTCATTGTATGAATCAATCAATGAACAATGAATCAATATTTCACTCCATAATTATTAAATAGTAATGTGTTGGTATGCATATAAGTAACATTAAAAATATATTATATTGAATTATATATTTTTTCATAATATATAATATTTACTTATATATATATATATGTGTGTGTGTGTGTGTGTGTGTGTGTGTGTGTGTGTGTGTGTGTGTGTGTGTGTGTGTGTATATATATTTGTATTGTATATGTATATTTATGTAAGTACACACTTTGACTACCTCTATTTCCTTCAACTATCCTTCAATAGGTCTGCTGGAAGAAATTTCATCATGGAATAGGCAGTGCCTTTGTACATGATTATGTTTTTACCATTTTCCTATCGAAGTATGTGTGTACATAAACTGTTAAATAAATAAATAAATATTTCCTCATTAGTCCATGTCGCCATGTTGAAACAATTTTATTAAGCCGACACTACAGTCTACTCCGACGCGTAACTATGAACTGAACACTGGGCCAACGTGTGAACACTGTTTGCGGCTTGCGCCAAATTCCTTTGATTTGTGCACGGAAAACCGACACTATACGGCTCGTCGGTGAGCGTTGGCCGCAAACGCCAAATATATACAAAACAGCCCAGTACACGTTGGCCGAGCGCACTCGGCGAGCGCGCTCGGCTAACGTGTACTGGAGCCATAACAAGCGTCTCCACCATAGATTACTGTATAGAGGAAACAAATGTTGCAACAAGCGTATTCCTTTGATGTTGCTGCCGAAAATAGAAACACGGTTCCCGACAATGTTTACAAGTTTTGTTGCCAACACTAGGTAATTACAAAAACATTTGTTACCAACACAACATAAGTTGGTAACAAAACTTTTTCCTGTATAGGACAGTTACTATACTCTTTGAGTGGAGAGTGGAGACGCGGTTTACGCATACGCGCACAGACTACTAAGGCCGGCCGCGTACATACGGAATTCCGTTTCGAGATTCCGTTTCAGAATTGCGAAAGGGTCGGCCACACACATACGGAATACCGTTTTGCCCGCAAAATTTCGAACGGAAAACTACCGTACGTGTGTGACGGGTCCTACATTTTATATGAACTTGCTTGCAGGAAACTTAGGCCGGCCACATACATGCGGAATTCCGTTTCGGGATTCCGTTTCGATATTCCGATTCGGGATTCCGAACGCAGCAAGTCCATATAAAATCTATGACACACACGTACGTTATTTTTCCGTACGGAATTTCTCCGATTCGAGATTCCGTATGACCGCCTGTGTGTTCGGGATCCCGAACGGAAAAAAGCCGCTCCGAACGCACGTCTTCCATAGATTTTGTATGAGTCGCAACACACAAACGTAAATTCGGTACGGAACGCGCTCAGACTGTATTGAAAGCTTACGGTGATAAGGGGATGCACCTAGTAAGAATGATACAGCAACAATGGAATCGCAATTAGAAAATCGTCGTCATTATTCGCTGGCAGAATGTCTAGACTCAATGTCTAACGTTGCCTAACTGACCCTTGTTATTCCGAACGAAAAAAAAACGTGTGTGTGTGATGAATTCACGGAATTCCGTTTCGGAATTCCAAACGGGTCGGCAACACACATACGGAATCCCGTTTTGCCCGCAAAATTTCGAACGGAAAACTACCGTACGTGTGTGACGGGTCATATATTTTATATGAATTTGCTGCGTTCGGAATCTTGAATCGGAATATCGAAACGGAATCCCGAAACGGAATTCCGTATGTATATGGCGGGCCTAAGAGGACATACGCGTGATTGTTTTCGATTATTTAACTGGCAAGTTAGGCCAGCCACATACATACGGAATTCCGTTTCGGGATTCCGTTTCGATATTCCGATTCGGGATCCCGAACGCACCAAGTCTATATAAAATCTATGACCTGCCATACACGTACGTTATTTTTCCGTACGGAATTTCTCCGATTCGAGATTCCGTATGACCGCCTGTGCGTTCGGGTTCCCGAACGGAAAAAAGCCGCTCCGAACGCACGTCTTCCATATATTTTGTACGAGTCACAACACACATACGTAAATTCCGTACGGAACGCGCTCAGTGTTCGGATAGCCATCGTAGCTCTACTGTATAAACACTTCAGCACTTCGATATACCGACAGTCAACTTGGCACCGCTGAAGGGACTGCAGCACCGCCCAAATTTCGACGGAATCAAAGGCTTTCTCATAGTCCACATATTCCAGACATAGTGGCAAATTGTACTCCTCAGACTTCTGTACAATTTGCCGAAGGGTATGTATGTGGTCTATGGTGCTAAAACCCTTTCGGAAACCGGCTTGTTCGGGAGACTGGAAGTCTTCAAGTCTGCGCACGAGACGATTCGTAATGACTCTCGAAAACAGCGCGTAGACGCGGCTCAGAAGGGAAATCGGTCTGTAGTTCTTCAAGAGAGCGTTGTCACCTTTCTTGAAGAACTAGACCACCGCACTTCTGCTCCACGCCTCCGGTGTAACGCCACCATGGAGGACGGAATTAAAGAGCTTCTGAAGGACTTCAAGTACCGGTCTTCCACCCGCTTTCAGAAGCTCCGCTGTAATTCCATCCTCGCCTGGGGCCTTGCCGTTTTTAAGGTGCTGGAGAGCCATTCTAATCTCGCTCAGACTGACGTCTGGGATATCTTCGGAATAGTGTCGGATAAGACTCGCTCTTGGATCGTTACTCACACTTGCGTGTGGCTCCAACGATGACGTGTACAGCTGCCCATAGAACCTCTCAATCTCACTCAAAATCTCAGGTGCCCCGGAAACGATGCTACCACATTCGGTCTTCAGCCTTGTCAGTTGGCTCTTTCTGTCAGACAGATCTCTGGCAATGACTTTGGAGCCTTGGTTCCGCTCGATCGCTTCTTCAATACAAGCTGTATTGAAGTTGCGTAAGTCCCGCCGCATGCATTAGGAGATCTGTCTGTTCAGTTGCGTGTATGCTTAGAGGCTTCATTAGATCGGAATTATATCTATGATATTTACGATGATAAATTAAATATACCATTTGGGTTAAGAATAGAAAAGAAAACTTACATGATGGGAAATTCAGAAGTTGCTTTTTCTAAAATGACAGTTTGGATAACGAAACTATATTTTTAGTAAAAATTGGAGACAAATCTTACAATCTAACTATCGGGTTAAGAGAACTTCTACTTAGAAAAAAACCTGATTTGAATTTAGTATCAAGCGCTGATAAACTCGTGTACAAAAATATTCTAGACCATACTAACGCTCATAAGAGAGATTTTAACCCTAGAGGTCAAATAAGAGGTGATAAGGGAATTAAATACCAAAAAATAATTAAACCATTATTTTTCGAGACCTTAATCAAATATAAAAAAATCGAAGAAAAGCTTGGAGGTAATTTACCTAAGCTTAAGAAATATAAAATCAACACTGGTATTGTATATTGGGACGATCCAAATGAATTAGTTGATAGATTAAAAGTTTTAATAGCTTCAAGAGATGCCGGCAATACAAATCATGATAATGAAATTTTATCGATCATTGAAGAATTAAAAGAAGCTAACATTATAAAGGAATAAAATACTAATTATTACTAGCTTTTACTCAGTATTGGTGAAGTTGCTCATGTTGCAAATTACTAAAAAATTGTCTGTATTTATTTAAGTAACAAGCAGCATAAACGAATTATTTTTAATAACTACCAACATAAGAATAAAATAAAATACATTATTTTTTGAATATGAGTAAAGCCGATGTAGTAAATGAAATTCATAGAAATGCTAGGGTGAATTTCCCACGTAGAAATGTTATTACGAAAGATATAGATGATTTATGGCAAGCAGACTTAATTGATATGCAATCAGTTTCTAAGGAACACAAAAACTTCAGATTTATTCTTACCGTTATTGATACATTTTCGAAATACGCTTGGGCTTTTTCCAATTAAGACTAAAAGTAAAGAGGACGTATGCTATAATTTTATGAAGCTCGTAAAAACACGTGTACCCAAAAATCTGCAAACCGACAATAGAACAGAATTTTATAACGATACGTTTAAAAAAATTATGAATTCTTATAATATTAATCATTACTCAACCTTTTCAACAAAGAAGGCTTTCATAGTTGAACGATTTATTCGAACTTTGAAATCTAAATTGTATAAAGCATTTAGTTTACAGGGTGATTATAACTGGATAGGCGATACTCTTAATAATGTTATTTACGAATACAATCACACTTATCATCGAACTATTGGTGAAATTCCAGCCAATGTTAATAATAAAAGTAAAAAACGAATACTACAGAGATACCTTAGATTGGTAAAGAATGATAATGTAAAACGTAAGTTTAAAGTAGGTGATTATGTGCGTATAAGCAAATACAAAGGTACATTCGAAAAAGGATATACTCCAAATTGGTCGACAGAAATATTTAAAATTCGAAAATTACAGAACACAATTCTACTAAGTATACTTAAAACTATAAATGAAATCAAAATGGCTAAAAAACAATTTGCTGAATTGAAGAGACACAATGAAAAAATTGAAGCTCTTTGTATCGGAAATGGGTTACAGTTTAAGCATCATAAAAATGGATTTGGCATTTATGTATCTAAAGAAATAAAAAACTAGAATATAGGCTACCAAAACGCGCCTTAACTAACATTGACATTTTAAAGTATGGAAAATATATTCCCTATTTTCGAGGTGTCTTTATGAGAGATGAGCTCCCAAAACACCCTTTTAAAAAAGAATGTGGAGTTATAAATTTAGATATTTCCTCAAATCCGGAATCTCATTGGGTAGCCTATGTAAAATTTGATAATTATGTTGAATATTTCGACAGTTATGGAAATCTTAAACCTCCAATGGAATTGATAAAATATTTAGGCCCTAAAGTCCACTATAATTATGATAACATACAGCGTGATTATCCTTTTAATTGTGGACATCTTTGTTTGATTTTTTTGGAGAATTTTTGGCGCAAACAAGACATAAAATAAAGAAGAACTTCATAAATTGCTCAGTATACAAGCATGTCTATAACAGTTGCTATCTCAGGAAATAAATCAGAATTGGATTCCTACTTTCAACCGCCTCTGAGTTTATCAGGTCAATACGAGTGCGGTTTACTATATTTTTCAGTAATAAACTCAACAACAAAATATTCTTATGTTGATAGCAAGTTCCCATCTGTGATCAGAATCGAATGTGATCTCATATACGGCTCATATTACAACGGGTTACCTAAACATATTATTCACGAATTTGTATCTAAAACTGCTGCAGATAATCAATACATAGAAATACCTCAGAACGTTATTTACTTCCCAGTGAATAAAAATAATATTACATCTATAACTATTAAAGTTTTAGATCAATTTGGCTACAGAATTAATTTCAAAGAACAATATATTGAAATTCGCCTCCATTTGAGGAAAGTAAAATGATATTACACTATAAAAACCCTACAGTCTACTTAAAGCACCCTATTACTTCTACACTCACTAAAGTGCGAAGACCTGAGAAAAAATTTAAGACCTTGAGTAAAAATAATGAAGATATTCTAAAGTCCTTGGGATTTAAAGTACGAATATACTACAGATTAATGACTTACCAAACTTCGATACTTCTATTGAAAGTTATGAAGTCCATTCTTATAATCCATATAATAACAGCTTTAGAGAAAACGATTAAATAAGAATTCCCATACATCAGCAAGACATATATGTATTACCATCAGCCAGTACATCGAAGGTCGCGCAAAGCTCTTCAGCAAACATGGAAACCAGATTAAAAAACCTGTTACGTTCAGTAATAATCCTATTATGTTCTTGTTTCAAGACACAAGGTATGAGATAAATGGAATCGAAATAGATCGTATTAAAATGCTGGTATAACGTCAACAATTAAATCATACATTTCAATGAATGAAACAGAAAATAAAGTAGCAGCTTTGTGGGGTTGGGATATGGATGGATTTAAAAGTGAAAACGGTGATTTTAGTGCTACTGTACCTTTAAATAAGATCTTAGGGTTTGCAGAAGATTATGCTAAAATTGTAATAAATTGTAAACATGAACTTATACTGAACAGAAGTAATTCTAACATAAATAGTATTATTGGAACTGAAGATGTTGCACATTTTCAAATAGACATAAAAAGAATACAATGGCGAGTGCCACATGTGAAAGTATCAGATCGTGAACGACTGAAACTTCTTAAACATTTAGAAAGAGATAAACTTATACAGATGGCATTTAGAAATTGGTATTTATATGAATACCCTTTACTTCCTACATCAACTAAGCATTCCTGGTCTATTAAGACTGCGTCACAATTAGAGAAACCTTGATATGTAATTTTTTGTTTACAAACAAACAGAAAAAATCAAAAAATGAAAGACTGTTTTAGACAAAACGACAGTCTAAAAAACGGGACCCGTAGATGTTCGTTTGGAGATTGAATGTACAACGGCAATACCAGAGAAGACAACTGGATATTGTTTAATCATTAATGATCAATTTGTGGAATATAAGCCTTTAAGTAACATAGTGTGCAAGTTGACATGACTGCTATCGTAGATGTCCAAGGTTTTAAAATAGAAAGAAATTAATTCATAGTGAAAGAAATTGCAATATTGTGTAATAATAAAATACAACGACTTTTAATTAAACCACCATTTCCTTTTTACAAATTGACTGTAAAAGAAAATAAAACATGTAAATTGGATTCAACGTAATAGAAAGATATATTGGTGTGAGGGAGTAACACCTTATTTAAATTATCAGAATTTGATTGCAGATAATATAAAAGATAAATGTATATACATCAAAGGTTTAGAAAAAGTTTTATGGTTAAAATCCATCTTACAAAATGATAATATAATTAATTTAGAAGATAAAGGCTGTCCTAGTTTGTTAAATCTGTATGATCGATATAAAGATTGTAATGATTTGTATAGTTGTATTAATCATAACTCAGTATGTGCTTTGAAAAATGTTTTTTGCTGAAATAAATGGTGTTCTGATAATAACATTTGAAATATTCTTATTTTATTTCATAAAACTCTCCACCGGCAACTTCTTTAAAATGTTTATAAGGAATCAGCGCAGCTTTGCAGCTTCATTATACTCTTGCAACCAGCAATATCAAACCTCCACAAAGCATGAGGGACATGTCTCAAAACGAATATAGACCCCGATATAGCTTATATGATTCATATAAAACACGCTTATTTTCATTTAGCCATTATTGGGCAACGAGTGATTTAAGAGAAGCAGTGGTGAATGAAATGGCTGATGCGGATTCTTTTATTTTGGCGATAGCATAAATGATACAGCTGCTTGTTTTTTCCTGTGGAGGAGTTATTAGAGATTGGGAGATTTACGATGATCCGTGAATGCAACACACATTACATTATCCTCAATGTTTTTATGTGAACGCCGTGAAAGGGTTAGATTATATAAATAAATGTTTGAAAGAGTATGGTAAATCGCTGTGAGTTAAAAAGAGTGACACGGAATTGAGAAGACATCTGCTTAGTTAAAAAAAAATGAAAAAAGTAGAAAATCGCTGTGAGTTAAAAGTGCTACAGAATTGAGAAGACATCTGCTTAGTTAAAAAATGGAAATGTAGAGCTGTTACACTAATAATATTGGGGCGAACTGCATCGCGAACGGATGTGAGTGATGCAGCAGCCCCAATATTACCCTACTCAGGTGAGCCGCATGCTCGTCTGCTATAAAAAAAATAAAAAAATACAAAACAAAAATACATTAAAAAAAACAGGGGCTGATCGTAGAAGGGCGAAAATTTGAAATTTTATGTATTTTTCAATACTAAATCATAATTAGATAAAAATAAAAAATGTTGTCAAAAATAAAAAAAAATATTTAGGGGTAGGTCACCCTTATCATTTATGGGTTTGAAAAATAGATGTTGGCTGATTCTCAGACCTACCCGATATGCACACAAAATTTCATACAAATTGGTTCAGCCGTTTCGGAGGAGTTTCGTAACAAACACCGAGACACGAGAATTTTATATATTAGATTATTTGTACTCGTAAATATGGTAAGATTTTTAATAAGTTTTAGTACAATATAGTCCTGGCTTTACAAAGTTCTAGCGTGTTACATAATTTCCACTGTGTTGCTTAATATATTGTGTGTTAGTGTGTCTAGAGCGTTATGGTACAAATTTTGTGAGCCCCACCCTTCTTACGTCTTAAGCCGCGTATCCACCGAAAATGTTGACAACATATATGTTTCCAACTGTTTACAACTCAACAAAAGTTACCAACGTTTGAACCGAATTGAAACATGTCGCCAACAATTTAAGAAACATTTTAGTTGACAACTTGCTGTCTCCACCAAAGTTTTGTTGGCAACAATACATCTTCAAGTGACGATATTATGCAGGCAGCCGCAGTATTAATAATTTTATGCAAAAAAAAAAACACCAGTAGTTTTGGACTTATCCTTAATAATGCGTATTAATATTGAAGTCGGTTATAGGCAAAATTTTTAATTTCATAAGTTGTCTCTCTTCCTCTCTTTTTTAAAAAACGTTACCTCCACTCTAGGATTTGATCCTGTATCGCAGGCATAGTTTATCTACATAGAACAGACCTAGAACAATTATTTGTAGGCCATACAAATACTTGTTCCGTCCGGGATTCGAACCCGCGGCCCTTAGCGCTGGAACTCATTACTAAACCACTGCGCCACGGAGCCGTCACTTGTGTGTTTCACATTTTTTGCTATTTACAAACATGCGACACGCGACTTCATTATTAATGAAAGAGTGACAATGAGAAGTATTAAACTAATAACCAGTACTTGCTGATCTTAAATTAGTAGGCAGTCACTAGTACTGGGATTTCTACTTACACTGAATTTTTTTAAGGTCATTGGCATTCTACGCGAAAAAATCGAAAATCAAA